GATTGTTAGTTACAAGAGATTTGACCTTAAGATTTTGGTGGTATCAGATTGTGATATGATAAGTTTCGAGCCTTGTGCATTTGTGGGACCCTCTCATGAGTGCACAGCATTTGTCGCGCCTCAGATTCGGGTTCTGGGGCGTGACAATTTTTGCTAAAACTCATACTCCCTTCCACGGATTCCCCATTTCCCCTCCCTAATTTCTGAGCTTCCCTCCCCGCAAATCTCCAAAATTTGTAATTGATTTTGCTAAAACTCAAAACCTATTTGAACCCAACTGCAAAATTCGTTTCCTCCACTGTAATCCATCAGTGATAGAGGGTTTCTTGCAGCCGACCGTAGCCCTGCTTGCTCTCTCCTCTTTGTCAACCATGGTTACCCCGCCTCCCTCTCTCTCTTTCTCTGTTTCTATAAGATTCCATTAGGCTGTGCATGCTTATCTTTGCTATTATTGGTTTCATTTTTGTTTTCTGATTGTTTGGTTTCTAAGAAAAAGTGAGGATAAAAAGCAAGGATTTTGCTTGATTTTCAAGTCTCAAAGTTACATATGTGGGAAATAAATATTTAGATTGAATTTGAAATGTTTATAGTCCAAAATGACTTGTGTTGAAATTGTTTAAGTGGTTTGTTTGATTGCTCAGAAACAATTGAAACATAATGTCGAGCTTCCTGATTATTGATTTGCTTACCTTTTCTGTATGTTGCTCCTGTCTTAAGTGTGAATGATTGTTCTATTTAGAATTAGGATTAAACTTATATACACTTTTTATAGTGCACTTGTTACACTAATTTTGTGATTGTCAAGTTGTTATTAAAATGGTTGGCATGGACTTACACTGGTTAACATATGTACACTACTTGGTGATGATGAAATCATATTTAAGAAGGATGAAGCCAAATAATACATGTCATTTATGGTGCTTGAGTAGTACTCCAAAGTCTCCAACTGGGGGATAATGATGCTGTCATGGAATGAAAAGTTCTTTGGAATAAATTACTGTTGTAAATTTGACAAAATTTTATGATTTAGGCTAATGATGTTCTCAACTCTTATTAATCTTCCATCAAGTACTGGTTCTATTCCACATTAGTCTAGTTTGGGATTGGAGGCCCTAACATTCAAGTTGATTTCATGATTGATAATTAATTAGGAAGGTAGGATGCCTTGACATGGTTTCAATGTTTTGGTTTTTTTGTTTTCCTCTTTGTTGTTCATGACCATGTTTGGGGCAACAAGCAATGAAATAGGAAGTAAGCACATAGTGAACTATTCTTTAGTCTTTTACTAAAGAACACCAGGTGTTTACAACATCAAGTGGCATACACTAATTTTTGGAGAGCTCTCCATTGGATGAGTTCTATAATTTTAGTTCGAAGTTTTATTTTTGGATTTCTCCATTTGCTAGGTTTTTGATATTTTGTATTGGTGATTTTTGCTTTGATTTTCTGTATTTTTCTTTTCATTATTATTTTTATTATTTTTTAATTCTTGCCATTAGATATTCATTAAATCCAAAGAATTGTGTTGTGTTTCTTCTATATTGGGAATTGAATGTAATATGTCGTTTGACAGAGTTTTATGTTATATTTAGCTTATTGGATTCTTTTCTATTTAATTTTTCATAAAAATTTTAGGATAATAAGTTATGGAAAGAGTATTAACCTGTTTTACAAAATTCTACACAGATTTCCTTTAATGAAATGATGCCATTCTGTGTCTAAAGCCTCTTTTCTTTCTTTTCATTTTCTTCATCCTTGTCCTTCCTTTTTCCATTGGATTCCCTTCATCAAAGGGTCAACTAAAATTGTGTGTGGAAAACAGTATACAATCAGTGAGAAAATTAGGCCCAACTGCACTCATTTTACAAATAGAAAGAAATTGCAAGTAACTTGATGAAGAAACACATATGGATTTGAAAAAAAATATTTAATACTTGGATGTGTCTAAATGTGTTATCAGAAAATGAGAGATCAACTTTCCTTTTTTCTTTTTCCTTTTCTTTATTTTTTTCTGCATTGGAACTTCATTTTGCAATTTTTGTTTTTCAAAATATTACAGAGTAAATTTCAAATATTTTGTCATTTTTCTGGACAAGTTTAGAATTTTTGGTTGGTGGTTAACTCTGGATTCCTAGCTTCCTGCTATTAATTTCCAAATCTGTTGAAGATCCTGTTAAAGGCAGTACTTGAGAGTAGCCTTCGGTTTTACTTAGAGAAGAAAAAGGTTAGTCAATACCTAATGCACTTGTCATTTTGTTGATTTGTGCTAATTTGTTCCTAGTTCAAATGTAGTTTAATCTTGTTGGTAATTACTTCTTCTTTTTCTTTCTTTCTTTCCGATTACAGTTTCTTTCTTTAATGCTATTGATCTGGTGTCTTTTGTTGGTTGGTCCTTTTGCTATGCAACTAAATAGTGGTTGTATTTTGCTTGGTTGAATAATAATTTGAATTTAAGCCATGTATCTTTGATTAGCAGCTATTACTATTTGATTGATTCTTGGACAATTCCAACCCAAAATACAATTTTAGCTTAAGAATAGATTAAGGAGCAATTTATTAATGCTAGTCAACCTCGTTGGTTCTCTTGTCTTAAAATTTCAACTCAATTAGGCAATGGTCTAACCTCCCCTTACTCTAAATTTTATACTGCCAAAAAAGAGAGAGTATAGAAACTGTTTAGATTTTGTCAAAATTTTGAGGTTATGTTGTTGCATTAGTTACATATCAAGTTTCACTTCACATAAAAGGTTGGCAAACTAAAATCTTAGTTAAAGTTCAGACTTTACATATATAAATAAGCATGCAACATCCAGAGTTTTTTCCTCTTCATGTTGACAGTTCCCAACTTCAATCTTCAGTGTTGAAACACTATAGGTTGTTGGCGTTGCTTCTAGCTAGTTCTATTTGTTGGTTTCTATGTGGTAACTCCTGTTTGAGTTGACCAAAATATGAAATAAAAAAAAAACCAAAAAAAAAAAAATGTTTTAAGGATTTTTTTTCAAGTTCATTGTGCTAGCACTACCAAAAAGTGTTAAAATCTTGCCTTCAAAATTCAAAACACCTTGACCTTTTATGTATGTGTGTGAATAGTAAGCAAGCCT